GGTTTTTTTTTTCGTTTCCTTAATGCGTATCTAGGACCACTTCTGCGGAGTGCAAACATGAGATCAAGATGGTTTCCTAATGCCATGACGAAAGTTTTATCATTTCCTCTTCTGCCCGATTGGGGAATCCCGATCCCACTTTTGTCGAAAGAAAATATTTCCTCTCTTGTCGCTTTCCCCTTCCATGGATCCGAATCACCTCGATTTCTTGAAGACCCTTTTGAGAACAGAATTTTATTATGTATCAACGTATTCCATATGGGAAAAAGAAAGTCAAGTTTTCATTTCGGACTCTCGAATTTCTCTGGCCAGATTCCAGATCGCCAATTTTTCTCTGATGCTGCTTTTTTTCAATGACCATTTATTATACTACATGCCCTTTACAGGAAAAGGATACAAGATGGGAGGAAGTGGAATATACAGGATTGGTTATTGACAGATGGTGCTTCTTTAGAGGTTGTTGAAGTCCAGGTCTTGGGGTTGGATGGGTCCGCGGCCTGCCACCAGGTGGTGTTGTCAGGCCAGGGGTTGCTGAGGAAGGTAAAAGATATTTCAGTCGGCATGGTCATTGTGGGGGTGGTTTTTCTTGTTTTATAGTTTTTATTTTTATTTTTTATTTTTATTCATTTTTATTTCATTTTATTTCATTTTTTATTTTTGTTTTTTATTTTTTTGTATATATAAATATATATATATTTAATGCTAATGATTGAAGGGAGGATCTAAGGGTCAGTGAAGAAGATTTGTACAGCTAGATTAAGGAGAGATTTATGCAGCTATGCAACATTCACTCATGCCATTCACACATCCTTTTGTTCACACTGTCATACATGCATGCACACACTTGTGGAGATAAGGGGGATTGTGGAGGAGTGACTTAGCTTGGGTCATATGGGTACTTGAAGTCCTCCTGGGTGAAGTTTTTTGTAGGTTCTGAAGAACAGGACAGCTTGGGATGACAGTCCTGGAAGGATGAAAGATGAAAGATGAGTAAATCAGTTATTAGGCTAAATGATAGAGCAGATTAACAGGGCAGCTGGGACAAAAGGGGGGGAGGGCCCTGACCATCTTCCGCTCTACGGTTCAGATTGAATAATGGATAGGTTCTTACTCTTTTATGCTTTTTAAATTTGATTTTCTTGTTACTGGTTACACTGATGTTACGGATATCATCCGGGCGTTTGGGGTCTTCAAAGTATTTAAGCGCAAGCTTGGAGGCGTACTGCTGCAACGGCTCTATTTTGGACTGGTGGTAAATGTACTTCTTAGAGACATAGCCTGGGAGCCTCAGTGCATACCTGATGGCTGCTGTTTCTACTGTCTGTATTCTTGAAAAAGCAGAATCAGAACAGTTAGCCCAGGCTGCATGTCCATAAGTGAGAACCGGGGTGGAATAGGCGCAGTCACGGCCTTTTATAGCGCAGTCACTTAAATGGCAGGTGAAAAAAGCCTTCACGCACCTAGCCACTCTGGAGGGCCTTGCGCAGACCCTTTCCTCTTCGAAAGACCATCTCCTCAACCACCTAGTCAAAAATGCTGAAACCTGTACCATTCTCTTTCTTTTTAGGGCTACTTGAGTACATGGCAAGCTTCCATAAGATTCATAAATTCGTTATTATGGACGTGGTGGCGCGAAAGGCTATTTCAGTGGAACCCTTGCACCTCGATAAATCAGGCACAAGGTTACGCATCGAAAGGAGGGAAACTGCAGTCGAAGCGGTGCCTCATTACCTATCATACTGGGAAATTTCATTCAGTCATCTCTTTGTTACTCAGAAAAGTACGAAAAACTACGCAGAAACTGCTTCATTTACGCCATTCCAGCTTCAGGCGCGCTTTCTTGGGAACCATCGAGAACGTGAAAGGGACATCCTACTACAAAACATTAGACACAGGTATTGAGAAAGTTTTCCATAGGTGTCACAGCTCTAAGTTACTTTTTGATCCTTACGGATTCGAACAGACCCATATCAAGAAGATTTGGATACTCCTGAGTTTTCAGCTCTCCTGTTTGGACTTCCAACACTTGCACTCCTAAATTGTAATTCTCATCCGAAATGGGAATGCCTGAGGAATGACTCGACGCTTACATCATTCGTCTATTCGCATGCAACACTGAATACAAAGGTTTTTCATACAAAACGGATCGCGATTCCGAGCTAGCAGACGACACCATGACGCGCCCCTCCTCTTGGCTCTCCCGCTTTTCACGTGGCTGCTGAGGCTGGCTGAAGGGTCCTTGGGTCCGTGCTCGGTTGCGTGGGAAGGCGCCGGAATGGCGCACTCTTCCCCTTTCCCTGGGATTTCCTCCCCCCAACCGGAAAAGTGGAAATCTTTTTTTGCACCTTTGAAACCTCTCTTCCCTTGTTATCCATGTGATAGGAGAGGAGGTCAGTCGATTCGTGCGTCTGCCTGTCCGCCGGAGGCCTGCACGGGTTCGTTTTCCCAAAAACCGGCCCGATTCGTATCATTGCCCGGGCCCGACCCGAAACTCGATCGTCGATCCAGCCTTAGCAACTCTACCCGCGGATCCTGCCGGGCCTGTCGGACGAGTCCGAAACCCGAGTAGGTCTCTAAGCTCCAGCACTCGAGGAGGATAAGTGTTCGCCTGCAAACCGACCGAAAACCGGATTGCCAACCGAGGCCCACGTCCGATCCGAGGGTCGGGTCGGTCCCATCGAGCCGAGCCGCATCCCGTGTGATCATCCGCTATTCTTCATACCCTTTGAAATTGAAACGACGTGTCTCACCTGAATGCCATCCGGGGGAACTCGCTGGAAATTCGCATACTAGCCCATGGGGGTTCCCTGATTACGGAACACATCTCCTATGGGAGATCGAACGTTTTGCCGCTTCAGAGTGTTACGAGACGGAACTGACTGAAAACCGAGTGATGATGTCACAGCGGGCGACGACGAAGCCACGCTCGAACAAACTTGTCCTTACTCGTTTAGACTTCAAATTTACGTTACTAGGGAAATATAAATACTTTCGTTAACTCTCGTGACGACTCGTTGCTTTCGTCGAAAGGTATCGTTTCACTTAACGCAAATCTGAGACAACATCCCCTTCCAAAAAGTGGTGGGAGTGGGAAATGCTATCCGCATGCAGAGAGAGTGAGAGGAAATTTCTGTCTATTTTTCGCTGAATGCATGACCGAGTTCTTTCTGGCTCATTCTAAAAGTTAAAGTAATCCCCGAAGATTAGAAATAACTTTGCTCTTGCATTTCGCTGACCTGGTTCGACTTCGCTTCCGAGCCATTTTTTAAACCTTGATCTTTTTTCTGGAAAATTAATTTGTTCTGCAACTCGAATATTTATGGCGGTGTTGGTTGGCTTTCCGAGAAGAAATACTCGGAGAGACACCAAGGAGACTTGAGAGTGCTCGACGGATGCGGTTAAGACGGACGCAATGAAGGTCGAGATTCATCAGGATCTCAATCTCCAATTTTTAACATCGAAGAGATCTCGAATCTCGGGGACGAAAACTCTCCCATTGCGGGAACTGCAACGACCAGCCCATCCCAACCTCGTCGGGTCCACGAATGCCGTCGGTGGGCCAAGCGATGCCGCTCGTGCCGGCAGAGGCCCAGGTCTAAAGAAGGATGCTGTCTGGGATTCCGTTCTGAGAGCACGTGTTCTAATATACAAAAAATATGGCCAAGTTACCTAAGTAGCACAGGACGAACAGATCAACCGGCAGGCCACGTCAAGGATAATGAGTATAGTTAATGCGATTACAGTAATTAATGTGTCACAGATGACTCAGACGACGGCAGGCTGGTGGGAGCAAATGGGATGTGCAACAACGACCCACAATCCCCACCAGATGGCAACCATGTTCCCCTGTAACCTCCGAATGCAAAAAAGGATGAGCGTTGCTTAAGTAGCGAAAGTGTATCCTCCTTGCCACTGTTCATTATTTGATTTATGAACAGACATTAGAGGAAAATAAAATCATATTGCTTACAGTACCATATATGTTTCTGAACAATGTTAAATATTGAGGTTCTATGTGAAAGTGGAAGTACGAGGAAGTGAAGGCTAGGAAGTAAATTTTATCTTCTTCATTGCACGTCGCTCGCGAACCATCGAAAA